CACTGATTTTGCTGACTTGTTCAGATGTTGTTAATTTGTTCAGCTGTCCTTGATTTTTGTGCTTCTACCATCTAAGTAGGATGTAGTTAAATTGTTTCTGTTTTTGTCTGTTTTAATTGTGTTTATTGTTGATCTACGATCTGCACAGTGTAAATCGACCGGATTCTCTCTCTCTCTGCCTGCTTAATCTGCTATGTGCTGCTCGGCGCAAAAATAAACAAAATCGCAAATCGAATCGTAATTGCAATATCTGGCAGAAAAATTGCAATTAGATTTTTTCCCCACATCGTTCAGCCCTGTGTCTATGTGATGAAGGGCCTGGCGCTTGCTTCCAAACAGTGGCATGTGGATGGACATGGGATCTACCTTTAGAGTCTGACATTTGCTTTCAGACAGCGAGCAGTTAGCAGCAGCCTTCTTCTGCATGATGGGATTATAGTAGGTGAACAGCCTGTGGTGGACAGGCTGGTAGCTTGCGTCAGGATTGAGCCCTGCTACCGTCAATTCAAAATGTAGAACAAAATATTGAAATCATGTACATGTGCAGATGGTGTCACCCAGAGAGAAAAGTCAGACACACTCATCACATCAGGTATCCTCTGTCTCCATGTCCAAACCTACAATGCAAGCCAATGTAGGTAGATACATAATGAATCAGCGTCATCCGCACAGACACAGGTGCCCCACCCTACACACACTATCACAATTACAACACACCAAGTTAGCTTGCAGGCAAAACCTCACTGTAGGAAGAAGAAAAGACCAAAAACGTTTATGAGGAAATGCTGGGTAGTGTGATTATTCACAGCTGAACCACCCATTTGTCTTAATTCACACTTTTTATGTTGAGCAATCTTATAGACCACTCCTATCAAAGTGCAAAATACTTCTTTACTACCTTATGCTATACTATGTAAGAAATAACAAATTCTATCTTTTTACAAGTGAAAAGTTGAATTAATAAGCAATAAAAGACACTTGCTCACTTCATTACACTCAGGGGTTTTGTTGCTACAGCCTTACTTGGTTTTGTAGTGTAGGCTAAAAGTTAGCAAAACTTTATTTAGATTTGTCTGTGTTAGTGATATACTCAGTTATTTTGCAAACGTTATTCCTCCTCTTTGCTTGTGATATTACTACACTACTTTTTAGCATGTCACAGGTGAACATTTCAATAAATTATGTCTTTACTTCTTGTTTTATTGCATTGGAATGCTAATCTGTGATGTGATATACAAAGCGACATCAGCAATTTCTAAAGTTTGCTAACATTGGCAACCATCAGCTACTGGCCAAACCAGACCAAGCACAATACAGTGTAAAACTGTAGCATCAAAACATGAACAGAAATTGTTACCGCATGGGTGAATTACATTTTTCAATCGTTGGAGGAACATTATATTATTTCCTTTTCTTAAAAAAAGTTACAAAGATCTCCTTTAATCAATAATATAGAACATATTTCATTATTATGTAACAGGAGGAGACAGCCTGGTTGTTACCACACAGGCGTCTGTCTCAACCTGCGTGTCTCTGCTTCCAGGCAAAGACAGGAGAGCAGCCAGGTACAAAGTTACACCACAGCTCTGTTTATTTCACATCCTGCCTGTGTGGACATCTGGAAGAGTTTGGCATCATCGCTGCCATCGTACTGTTTCGACAAAGTCCACACAGGCTCAGTCAAGTACAGATGAAGACGTGTTCTGGAGGGTTTTAAAGTCTGGGCTGGGCTGCTGACGGACCAGAGCAAAGATGCGCGCGCACACACACACACACACACAATGATGCCAAGTGAAATGATCGAACTTGTTCAAACATGGGTGTGATAAGCACAGTGGAATATGGACACAAGCTGTCTCTTCATATGCACAACAAGAACGCCCTCACTGAACAAGATTTAAAGATTAACCTACATAAATTTAAACAGTTCTGCAAACCTAGCATACAGATCCATGCTAATCACATGAAGAGATTCCATTTTAGGAACTTGATAGCATGAGACATAATGGAGAGCCTGAGCTGTCGCTGCTACACTGCCTGCTAGATGGCAGCCTTACCACTCTTTAACTGCGTTCCTGACTAAATACATTTCCTCTGGATTTATTGGTAATCATGTGTCCGCTGCCAGTGCCAGATCATGCAGGGGGCTGCCAGAACTGCAGAAAGAGAGATTACCTGTTGGGTCGAAACCTCATTATGGTGAGCACTTCAACTGCAGTCTGTGCTGGGAAGCCCAGGAGAGTGCCACTGTGGCTGGATATGCCACTGAGTTTGTTAACTGTCGAGATTCTCTGTGGGTCCATTTCAAGTAATAATCACCATCTAAGTGACGTGAATGAAACATGTGAGGGCACTCTGATTAAAGATAATAATCAACAAGAGCTTGGCAAGTGTGGTGTTAAGTGGCAGTCATGTTCCAGTCCACATTAGTCAACAATGCGTTTTGGGAAACGTGTTTATTTGCTTTCTTGCAGAGAGTTAGATGAGAAGACTCAACCCACTGATGTCTGTGCTGTAAATATGAAGCTACAGACAGGAGACGTTTAGCTTAGCTTAGCATAAAGAAATAGAGGGAAACAGCTAGCCTGGCTCTGTCAAAATAACATCTACCAGCACCTCTAAAGCTCACATATCAGCATGTTCTACCTTGTTTGTTTAATAAATTGTGATTCTGTCTGAGGTCTGTGGGGGGACTATATTTTGGCAGGGTGCAGTAACTTCCAGGAAGTCACAGAGACTGGCACAGCCTCCCTGTAAAACCACAACTCTATTTCATTGTGTAAACTGAATAACTTTGGGTTTTGGACTGTAGAACGGGATGTCATGTCTGAGAATCTTTGACGACTTCTACTACTTTCCGGACATTTTATAGTATAAGTAACTAATCCATTATTGATTGTCATTTGTAGCCCTAGTCCAGTTCACTCCACTACTGTGGCCTTGATTGCTTTTTGGGAGGCGCAAATTACTGGCTTCTCTTAAGTAACTCATGATCACAGTGTAACAACTGGGCTCTCTTGCATATCAGTACATTTTTAGCAAGAAAACAAATAAATAAGTTGAAATGAGAAATTACAGAAGCGTGGACATAAAAATACAAGAAAAAAAAAAAGGAAAGTCATCGATTAGGAAAATGACTCAAAGGGCAGAACATGTTGTTTGAGTTTAAAATGAACTGGTGAAAGAAAAGAGAAAGACAGCAAGAGCTTCAGACCAAAGAAAGAGGGAGGGAGCTCGGGCATCATGCTGAGCTGTTTGGTAATTTGTGGCGAGGATTGCTGGCTGGGTGTGCCCATTTTCTGCAATGAAAGAAGGAAGTAAAAGAGGAGAGCGGGCTCCTCTCTCATCTTCAGATTAAGTGACTCAAGAGGAGCAGCTAGGATGAGGGTGAGTCAGCTGGAGAGACAGACAGGCAGACAGACAGACTGTGCTGACTAAGATGGCTCGTTGGTGCCTGGTACTGTGCCCTGAATACCAGCCGAGCACTGTTTAATAGCTGGCACCAAGATCAGTAAATTGTAGACTACGGAGTCTCCTTTAGGAATGAGTGAGAGTTCTGTGTCCGAAAAATGAACCTCGGAAAACAGAAAAGAAAACATTTCTGAGGAACACTGCATGTGCCCATCTGCCATTGATCCTTTATTGCTAAGCATAACCTTCATAAAGACAATCTACTGGTGATGTGACCTCTTCCTGTCAGGTAATGATGAAGCAAGTTTGGGGTACTGTAGTATTTAACATGAGGTTCAAACAGTGCCATCACCTCAGCTGTTGGCTGGAAGCAATAACATGCATATGGAAACCATGAAAGGAGCCAGACGTTCCCCCCAGCAGGGGATGACAGGGACTCACTCATGTCTGATTCACACAGACTGTCACAAACCTCTTCCTTTCCTTCAACCACAGACTCTCTGTTGGTAAAAGGTTTTTTGTCTGTGTCTGTACACCAGGTGCAGGAGATCTGACGAGGCTATGCAAACTCAACTATGAATTAAATTATAGTGCAATTAAATTTGGGACCAAGTCCATCAAGGAGCCTTGAGCCTCTTCAAGGGCCACTCGTTAACTGCAGTGAGGTGATCTATTCGGTATGGGGAGAGATGTTGGAAAGCACAACACCAGATGGCTATATTCTCACAGCTCAGCAGAACATGACTTTAATTCACTTGCAGTCTGACAAACAGCTGCGGAATTGCCGGTGTTGTGATCAGGCAAGCAGCTGCATGTAGGCTAAGCCCACTAAACCAAGTTTTATGTCACTAAACGTGAGCCAAGTCCTGTCTAATGTTGTAGAGACCCAGGCCCAGCCCACTGCAGGACATGAGCACAGACAATAGCCCTGTGTGTGTCTCTCTCTCTCTCTCTCTCTCTCTCTCTGTGTGTACAGCTCTCCTGCTAGGCCTGAATTATATCCTGGACCACAGAGTTTGGTTCGGACTGGCCCAGCCCGGATCAAGCGGCAGGGGAACACACAAAGCCTGGACAGCCTGCGCCCCCCTTTTCCCAAAACAACACACATCAAATCTGGACAGCTCAAGACAAAAGCACTGCGCCCCTGGACAACAGGGAAACGCCTGCTTTGTCACTGAAAACACACTTGGTGGAGATCCCAACACTGAATCTCTTTCCTGTGAACTTCTTTAACAGTAGTTTAGAGGAAAAGGTGGACTCAAGTGTGTCTTTCTTTAAGGGGACTTTTTCTACTGGGCAGCAACATATGCTCAACTTTATTCGACCCTGCAGGCATGCGCACATGCACTGTTCTTTTAATTATCACCATCTTATTTGACAATGTAATCCAGTTCATCTGTGGATTAACACCACTCAAGTTCATTTCTTAAAGAAAATCAAACAGCAACAACTTAGAAGAGACGAGAGGCCACCTGAATGAAGGTGGAGATGTGTTGGTGGACAGTTGCCAAACCGAAGCGCGCACACTGGCACTCATTCATTACACTCAGCATTGTTTTTTGCGGTGTGCAGAGAGTTAACTGACTCACCTATGGACACCAGCTTAATGTTCTCCTTGTCCAGGAACTCCAGAGCCACCGACACGTTCTCCAGCTGCATCTGGCGGAAGGTGGGCCTCTGGTTGTACTTTCTGAACATCTTCTTCTGGGACAGGACCTCCAGGAGCCCGATGAGCCGCAGCCCGTCGCTGAGGTCCGTCTGCAAGTTGCCGATTCTCTTGTTGACGCATTTCAGATGCTCGTTACACCAGCGGGTGAAGGTGTTCTGCTGGATCTTCTTCCACGGCGCATCCTCGGCCAGGTCCTTCTCCGTTGCGGGCATTTCTGCGTCCTTGTCCGTGGAGAGAGCGTTGGGAGCGGGCGCGGCGCTCTGGTGGAGCCGGGGGTGTGAACCACTCATTTTTATGGTCTCGGCTGTCTCTCGGTTCGCTGGCTTTTTTTTCTGGGTGGAGTCTGCTCAACTTCGTGTGGCCGCTCCCTCTTTCTCTCTCTCTCACTTAGCAGATCGTCTCTGTTTGAGAGAAAGGCAAAAGAAAGAAAGAAGTGAACATGAGAGGCTGACTTATAGCCCGGAGGTAGAGATTTTGCAGAGAAAGTAGGCGGTTATGGCAGAAAAGGGAGTCATTTTGGATGGAATTGATGGCACTTGATATGCTCGCACAATGAAGCACTTTTTAACTCAATCCTAAACATGGCAAACGTTAGATTAAAACTAACTAAAGCTGTGGGAGAGAGACAAGAGAGAGACAAATACAGTCATTTCCCAATAAATAAAAATGTTAAGATCTGCGGCATTGGTCTGATAAATCCAACTTTCCAACAACAGATATTTTAAATTGAAGTAGAGAAAATTCCTCCTCAATTGTTAAAGTCTGTTCTAGGATTTTCTCAATTTGTCTAACAAATAAGGAAGCCGCAGTGAAAATACTTGATCGGCTTTACTTCCCAAAACACTCCAAGACCCCCCTTCATTCTCAGCTTTGTTTTCTCCCACATTGTTTGGGGACAGTCCTGCTTCATCCCACCATTTCACACTTACTATGGGGAGGAAAATTGAGTTGTTTTTACTGTTTTCTGAGCTGCAGAAACAAAGTGACAGTGTACCAGATGTACAGAGCTAGAGGGCCCACATTGAGGGTCCCTATGAGTGTATGAGCTCATCTAATGTGCATGTTCATAGGTCCCAGGCGGCAGTGGTATAAATATTTGAGATATCCAGAGGGATATGAGCATCAGTGACTCCTCATAAGGTCACAGATTATGTTTGTTTGTGTCAGTTGGTTGGCATGCAGCTTTGTTCAGCTTTCCTTTTCTGTGCAGTTGTTTGTGTCTGCAGGCGTGGACAGTGGGCTGATTTGTGTATATTTTCAGATGTCTGCGTTCATCTGTGTTCATGTGTGACGTCACTGTGTGTGCAGCGTTATCTTTAAAGAGGTTATGGTGCAGATGTTTAGATATCAGCTTCTGTTTGTCATCTGATTGACCAAACAACCAGATGAGATCACACAGAGTAGTAGGCACTATGTGAAGTATTGAGTGTTTTATTAGCAGTAGGCAGATTCTCAGAATGTGACAAGGGTAATAGTGGGCTTGTTAATTTGGTAAATTTAGAATGTTTTTCAGGTTTGTCATACAATATGGAGAGTTACAGGACAGAAAGGAGATAAAGAGGGCATGAGGTGGAAAAATCCAGATGTGTTGCACATGTTCTTATTGTCATTTCTGCTCTGTTTTCCTACAACATAAATCCCCTGGTAAGCATAATGTATTACATTAATTAAAGGGGCGCTCATTGTACACATGATGTTCAGTTTATCAGTTATGGGGGGTCCTGCTCAGCTTGTGAAAACAGTTTGAGGAGTCATTTGTACAAATTTGTCAGATGCTACAAATGTTAGGTGTAAGTTAGCTAGCAACATATAACATACACGCATTGTGTGTATGTTATATGTATGAGAGTGCGTTTGGTGGCAGCTAATCTCATGGCTGATCTCAGAACGCATCAGGAACTCCAGATATTTCTGTCCTTCCCTCATCAGAGCTATCTTGAGTTAAGGTGATTTCAGACAGTGAGTGGTTGCCACCCTGGCTGTCACCTGGCAACGTCTGTGTTGTGTATTTTGAATCGCCTGTATCGTTTCCCTCTCTGTAGTTTCTGTGGTTGCCATGGTCACACAGTGAGTCGCGGTGGCAAGTTGCAAAAGTTGAGCCATTATAAATATTAAGAGCAGTGCCAGTTCACGAGAATAGGCTCCTTGCTGCTGCTGCCATGTAAACGCTCCCTGTCTGAAGGCACCTTCATGCTTAGGTTTTCAAATATTTGACAAGAAATCTGCGTTATAAACTTGAGGCATGGAGTTTGGGAGATAGCAGCATTAAAAAGGCTAGTCTAATGAGTTGAGTTGCATTATGGGAAATGTAGGGTCCAGCCTTTTTGAAGCTTGACTCACTACTAAGTCAGGATATCTCGACCTCTTCTGATTCAATTTTGACCATTGTTGTCTTTTAAAAACTTTTACTCCTAAGTCCCCCAAATTTGTGACAGTGCAATACTAAATCCGTGAAGTGCCCCTTTAATATGACTAACAAATCAACAAAACACACAAGAGTTCACGTCTTTTAATTCATATTCTTTCTGTGAGTAACAGAAGAGCAGTGGCTGTAAAGACCGAAGGAGAGATGTGACGCTGCAGCTTTTTTGACTAAATAAGGAGCTCGGTGCCAGAAGCCACAGCATGGCCGGCAGCCATCAAGAATGTTTTGTGCCTTTGTGTGTATGTGTGTGTCTGCGTGTTTGTGTGTGTCTGGTCAAGGGAGAATCTGAAGAATGCCCCTCACCCCCATAACGACCCTGGAGCCCCCAGCCTTAATAATACCCCAATAAAAGAGCCCTATTAATGTAGCACACACACACATATACACACATACGCACAAACACACACACACACACACACACACACACACACACACACACACACACACACACAGAGTCTGGTACCAGCATATTTTTACATTTACTGGGCCATTTAAAACAATAGAACAATAGATTATGATAGCTTTAAGCAGCTCTGGTCCCTGTAGGTGCGTAATTTGCTTCATTTCACAACTTTAATTAGACATAGCTTGTCACAACAGTTTACAGGCTTTGGCCATAATTAAATTTTAAAACTTATGACGACAGTGGACACTGATTGTGTCAGAGCAGGAATGCAGGGCAGATTAACAGCAGCAGAATTATTGAAAATTAGAAGGGAGGAACAGGAGACACCGACAAACACAGCAAAACACTTTGTTACAGAAAGGTTTTGAGGGATTGTTTGTTCAATTCATACTGAACTTCCGAAAGCTCAATAAAGTGTTTGCCTTGAAGTAAATGAGACCTGAGAAAACTCGGGGAATATTCAGTGCGTAGCTGGCGATTGTTTCAATGGAATTTGCCAAATAAACAGGAGACAAAACACTGGGCGGGGACAGAAGGACACATTATAATGTCTCAGGATCTGAATGCTCTCTGAAGCTCTGGCTTTTCTTCTGGCTCCCTCAAGTGACTGTTTATGGTACGACATCTTTCAGTTTTCTCTTCCCTGAAATGGGTCCTCAGCTACGTTTTCTCTCTTCACTGTTGGTAGAAATCACACTCTTCTCATGACCTCTTTGGTATCTTTGCCCCACCCCCTTACCACCACCCCGTCTGTATACTGGACTCATTCTGGACAACTTTGGCAAAGTTCATTGGATCAATTAAACAGTTAATATACGTTTAAGTAGCTAAACATCTCTGACATGTTTCATATATAATCTCCATCAAATAATGGCTGATCTATCGATGTTCAGAGCTTCACACTGATTAATACGGTTATTTCTTTTCATAGGGGGGCCAAGAGGTTAAGAAACATACCATATAACTAAAACGTCTGACGTCGTTTGACTCCAGCTGGAGACCATTGTCGCATGTCTCACTCTTTAAATTTCCTGACATACCATAACTGTCAATCTCTCTGTGAAGGCAAAAGCACCAAAAATAATAGTAATAGGAGGAAAGTAAGAAACTAAGTAAATTTCTGGTATGGATATACAAGTGCTTATTTCAGTACAATTTTGTGTTATTTGTAGCCTACTTAGTATTTTTGTTTACGCTTTATATTTCTACTCCACTACATTTCAGGGTGATATGTTTTACTTTTTACTCGACCACCTGTAACTGAGGGCGGTGGTCCGGTGGATAGCACTGTGGCTTCACAGCAAGAAGGTTGTGGGTTCAAACCCCGTAGGGCCGGGGACTGGCTACCTGTCCAGGGTGTACCCTGCCCTTCACCCAATGTCAGCTGGAATTGACCCTGTATGCAGCATAAGTGGCTGATGATGGATGGAAGTAAATGGTCTGTATGCTTCTTCTGTCATTGATAAAAATATACTATAGCACATAAAAAAAATTACCTAATTTAAAATGAGGTTTTCAAATAAGAGTTAAAAGCGGTCCCACAGGTTTCGATGAAGGTGCTGTCACTAAGGTCGCTGTTGTGGACCACAGGATTCAAACAGGTGCATATGGGATCAAAAGGTCACTGATAAAAGAAGGAGCAAAAACATGAATTAAGGGTGAAAAAAGGTAAACAAAATCATGCCAATATTAAAAGACAACCTCTGTGTTATTGAGCTGAGGAGCAGACAGTTGTTTGCCATTTAGCTTACATGTCAGGCCATTAGCCAAAGCTTGCAGCGAGAGCAACACCAGTATAAGCTTTGTTTCCTGGATAACAAGAACTACAATAAACCCAAAGTTAAGCGCACTACTGTCAGGCAAGAATGAATGAAGAAAATAAGTGCAGGCTAATAAGTTATTTTAAATCTCAAATACAGTGCGATGTTTTTTGATGATCAACATGAATATTAGCAATGTAGCCTCTCATCCAAGGGATATTATTATTATTACAGCACCAGCCTGCGATGCCTTCTCATCATCAACTGCAAGCAGAGCAGAGCAGAACTCAACAAAGGAAGTTAGATGAACGCTGCATGCAGCGCCCCTAACCACACGACACATCCACATATAGAGTGGTGTGGAGAGAAAGAAAGTCAGATGCACAGATTACAGCAAAGTTATGGCTTTCCCCTTTATGCCCTGTGTGTGTACTTGTGTGTGTGTGGGTGTGTGTGTGCGTGTGCGTGTCTTTTGGTGGCACATGTAGGGTGAAAGTAGGCCAAGAAGTGTCAAATAAGGACAGGTGCATGTTTACATCCACCTCTACCTTTTCTCTTCATTCCCCACCACCTCTTTATTATCACAGTTATGAAACTAAGAAGCTGCAATAAGTCATCGCAATCTCTCCCAAACTTTTGGCCGAATCTACAGAGTCAATAAACATCCAAAGCCTACAATCTCAAAACCCACATGTTTCTCAACTGTGTTTAAGATGAAGGGCGTACAGGAATGTTATGACCTCAGCATGAAATCACCTGCCAGAAAAGACTGGAAACGACTCGTTACCTTCACTTTGTGAATAAAAGAAGCACATTCCAGTCCGTCAGCATCATCACCAAAAACGTTTAAAAGAGAGGAGAAACATTGTGGGGGCAGATGTTGAGGAATGAGATGGTGAGATATCATCACTGTTTCCACTAGAGACACGTTTCTGGTTCAGAACAGTGATAAAACGCATCTTATACGAATGGTCCTGTCACATGAACACAAATGTCAGCTGTCCTGTTTCAGAATTAGTCCGGCCACATTATTCTCAAACCCTTTACTGCATGAATTATGTTGTTTTGATTGATGTCTTAATAATGTATCACCCCCGTCCAGATATGGCGAGTGTGCACCATATGGGTATAAAAACGCTAAGATGCAGGCTAGATTTTTGTAGAAAAATTATTTGGTGAAAACAAGCAACATTTGCATTAAAATGTTCTACGAGAAACAAATACAGTATATGTGTTTGGTTATATTTTATTCTCTCCTATCTTGTCCAGTTCATAAAATGCTGTTTGTACTGTCATGAATAGCAAAAACATTCTTGGTCAAAGAAATATCTAATTCTATAAGGAACAATAATGCTTGGTTTCTTGTGTGTTGGCTGTAGACTGGTGAGCAGGACTGACCATTAAATGTACCTGTGTCCAGTATTTCCTTTGAGATCACAACCAAAAGGTAACTGTTTTACATTACAGTGCATCCCCATCATTGAGCACGATGTTGCCTGACTGTACAACATATGGAAAAACATTTAAGGTGTTAAATCATTATTGGCTCTGTGCCACATGTACTCTATTTCCTGAAAGGGTGTTCCCACCAAAGAAATGCACCACTATAGGCTACCCACTTCATCTCCTCATTTGATTATTAAGAGGCTATTTAAAATGTATTTTACCTTGAAACGCTCTCTATAAATGAAATGCCTGTCATGTGATGAAATGATGAATGATAAAGCCTACAACGTGTAAAAGTAAAATATTTATATAGCCTATGGGCCGATGTGAGGGTCTAAGAGTCTCTGCTTCTGCTCTACCCTAGGCTATACGAAGCGGGGCGCTAACAATGAAAGCAAGAAAAGCCACTGTCATCTTTTTATGAGTGCAGAGCTGAAATCAAATATCGCCCTGAACTCCTGAGCTCTTGCGGTGTGAGACCCGCTCCCGGCGGCGGAGGGCGCAAGCGGCCACCACTTGGCCCCCCGGTAAAAACTCCTGTGCAGTCAGTGTCCGTGTATTACCTTATTTGGTGTGGAGACCCTAATTGTAACACCGGAGAGATGTTTCAGTCCGCTGCTGTGCGCGCGGAACAGCGTGCCCGTGCGCAATGGCCCAAACAAACTTTATTTGTAGGAACGGAGTGAGATGGGTGGTATGCATCCAGGTTTTGGCTACATCCAGGTTTACATCATCTCCCGTGGCGTCCTGACTGAGCACCGCGGTGTCAGACTGTTACACTAATTGCACCGAAATATGTGCGACGGAACAAAAGCTACAAACTGAGTGTGTGAATCAGCATCAGAGCTTCAGAGACATTACAAAATTGTGGGCGCGTGAGGCGTGGCGCAACGCAACGCAGCAGCAGCCCACCCGGTGAGAGCAGCGGACACTCCGGTAGGCAGCCATCTCCCAGCACCGTGGGTCTCTATCACTCCGGTCCAAACAGACTCACAGAGCTGACACACATTATCACACGACAGAAAAACTTCATGCCACCCATTCACAGCGCGCAATCAAACACTCCGACTCAACTTCCAAAAATCTCCCGCAGTGACAAGCCGAGCAGCATCACTCACACCAACACGTCCGCAGCGGGACGACACTTACATGTGTGTTGTAGTCTGGGATCTTCAAGTGTGTCCAGTGTCTCTCCGGTCCGCTCAGTGCGCGCCGCAGCCTGCAGTTACTGTGGTCACAGAGGGTGTGTTTGTGTGTGGATGTGTGTGTGTGTGTGTGTGTGCTGCACCGAGGTCCCGGACCTCCCTCCCCACGCTCAGTCCCGGTGGGGGAAATGGGTGTATTGGTACTGGTGGCGTAAAGGAAAGAAAGAGATAGTCCCTCCGTTCTTTTGCTCTTTTCTATCTATGCGCGTCCTCTCTCTCTCTCTCTGTCCTCCACCGGGAGAGCCTTAATTGGTAAACGTTACAGCATAAGAGGTGCTGGGGGTGTTACTCTCTCTCTCTCTCTCTCTCTCTCTTTCTCTCTCTCTCTCTGCCTCTTTTTTACATGGGTGACGTCATGACCGCGCCTTCTGGATTTTGAAGGTATGATGTGACCGGCCATGCAGTGCCTCTATCTCCCCCATCTCCTTTTTATTTAACCCCTGGAGTGAATGTGCATAGATGCTGTTCACTCCCTCTCTTTGTCTTTGTGTGTATAGACCTATGTGTGTCTGTGCGTGTGTATGTGTGTGAGTTGGCGGTGTGTGTGTGTGTGTGTGTGTGTGCGCGCGCGCGCGCGAGAGAGAGAGGTAGGTCCCCACATCTCTCTGCACCCTCTGTCCTCTCTTTCCTGTTATCTTATTATTGTTCAGACACACTGGTGAACATGGGGAACTGTGTTTCTCTCTGTCAAACCCTGCTCTGACTCAACATGGGGGTGGGAGGGGTGTGCTGCCTGTGTGTGTGTGTGTGTGTGTATGTGTGTGTGTATGTGTGTGTGTGCTCTCCAGCTGAGCATTGGCTCAGGAAACAGGAATGTTCGGCCTCTGCTGTGCCCTCACAGTTCATCAGTCTGGTGGGAGGATGAAGGGAGAAGAGGGGAGGAGGTTAAAGTGAGAGTGGAGGAGAATAAAGAGAGGATACAGATTGAAGAAGACATTAGGAACATCTTTTCATATCCCTGTAACTACATTGTAATAGTTCTTAAAGAGCTTTTAATGTGATTCAAAGAAACCAGAAGGGAATAGTTGGACATTTTAGAATTCAGCTTTTTAGCAGACAGTTAGACACGTTCACTCCTTTCGTAAAATTTGCTTGTGGAATTTGGACAGACCTGGGCTGTTTCTGGATGTCGTATTTAGGTACAAACATGAGAGTATAGTATCGATCTTCTCGTCCAACTCTGGACAATAAGTTCATCAACCTTTTTCAATCTGTTAAAATTCTGATTCAAACTCAAACTAATTGAGTAGACTCCCTAACACATCCTCATACCTGAAAAAAATAGGTCAATTATCAACTGAAAGATAAATATGATTCTGTAAAGTAATCCAATTTTACATCTTAAGTACTTTACGTAAGTCACATGACGTTGAACACGTGGTTAATGTTTTGAAACGGTCGCAGTTTGGTTAGGATTAGAACAAAAGTACTTGGTAAGGTTTAGGAAAAGATTATGGTTTGGGTTAAAATAGGTAGCCTATGTTATGTAAGTCTGATGTAAGTAACTTAACTCATTTGACTTCAGTGAAAACTTTAAATTATTCAACACTGACTTTGATTCAGACTGGATTTGAACCTTGGTCCCCTGTGTACAAGTCCTGCATTTGTTTGACCAAGCTCTCCACCCCAAACTCCTCCTCAAGTGGACTTTCTCGCTCTTTATAGGACGTCACCTATCTTCCTCCTTTGTTACTGTCATATGGTTGCTAGAAGCCCTGCACATTAATTCCGCAAGTTTAATTTAGTTTAGTAACACTAGTTTTTGTACTGATTATGAGATATAACATGGTGAAATGACAGTGGAGATGAGTTTGCTACTGAGTTTTTCTTTACCTGTCATTAACTTCGATAGAGCCAGGCTAGCTGTTTCCCTGTGTTTCCTATCTTTATGCTAAGCTAAGCTGAGTGGCTGCTGGCTGTAGCTTCATATTTATTGCACAGACATGAGACTGGTGTGAGACAGTGGAACCAATCTTGTTATCCAACTCTCGGTAAGAAAGTGAATAAAGCTGCGTTTCTTGAGTTCTTGTGTGTTTCCATGGTCTAAAGACCTGCGAAGATTAGGCAAATTAACCAGCTGACGAAGGCTGTAGACCTATACGCCGTACGGAGCGCACAGGCATCATTATGTAACCACTACATCAGATTTGATTGGAATATAATGAAAAACATAGGCTATGCTTGACCATTAAAAACAGCTTTTTTTGTGTGGTAGTGTAATGGAGAGACACACAGAGAAAGAAAGTACAGAGAAAGCAACATAAAAAATAAAATCGCAACAGTTTGGAAGGTTATTACAACATTTCCAGCCGACAAGAGCTGCAGATCAGCTGCAGGACTTACATCTGCGTCCGCATGAGTGTCGAAGGAAGGGGACTACCTGTTGTAATCAGCTGTTCCGCTTGTTATGGAGAGGAGATGGACTTCAGCTATGTATAGAATCTTCCTGTCTGATGAAAATATGGTGAGTAGACAGAAAACAGGCAGAAAATGGAGGAGGAAGAGGAGGACGGAAAGGGAGAGAGAGAGGGAGAGGGAGAGAGGGAAGGAGGTTATGGATCTTTATGAAAACATGATTATCAACTTGTCCCTTTAACCCCGATTCATTTTTCTACAAAGAGGCAATTCATAAAGCTCTATCTATATGTGTGTGTGTGTGTGTGTGAATCAGCGAGTATTAATAGGAGCCAGATGTTTGCCATTGTGGTTGTGAGCTCGTCCAGTCGGTCAGTGACATCATCTGTATGCAGTTTGTTGAAGTGACATCACCAGATGCTTATTTGTTAGGGTAAACACACACACACACACGCACATACACACACACACACACACACTCCTTTTTATGTAATTGAGCGGAAGACAGATAAAGCAGAACAAATAAACATCATAATGTGACAAATTCCATTGCCACCACTGTGCTCAGCAGCAGCTACTCAACTTTCACTATCATCGTTATGGTGAGGTCAAGATCTGCAACTTACACCATCTTTTGTTGGATGACCCGAAACTGTCTCCACATAAGTGGAAATAAATCAGAAATAACTGTGTTTGGTCCCCGCTCTGCAGTGGAGTCTCTCTGCAAATATTAAACCTGCAGCCAGAAACCTGGAGGACTCTCCTTCGACAATAAAGTCACAAATTATGTCCAATCCTGTTTCCTCCATTAGGGAGCATCTCAGATATCAGAGCCTTCTTTCCCCAGAATCATTGGTCTTAGAAGTTAAGGAGTACGCTGGTGCTAAAGATGTTTAATTGTCTGTTAAAAACTAAAAATACATCATTCATTATACATTGGTTCATCAACAAGTACATGCAAGTCTGTTCTTGCGTTTGTTTGTTGTGTTTTCATGACCTGTGAAAGATCCCAGAATAAGACTGCCTGAATGTCTGAAATGATTGCATTATGAATGTGATAAAGGCAAAGATAAAGGGCTTTTGTGGTGGAGGTTGAAAGTGATAATCAAGAGCTGAACATGCGATAATGAGATAGAGAAAGAACTGCACATAATCAAAATATGTGATACACTTATGGAAAACTAAAGAGCGGAGAAAACGGAGATTGGAAAAGCAAAGCAAACAAAGCTGTATCCACGTGGGTTGTCTCTCTGTTCTGGGCTGTTTGGCACAAATTTTCCAGGATAGATATGTCATCTTATCATTGTTGATACAACAACGCTATGGAGTAAACTGCAGAACTTCAACCCACCTTTATGGAAAAAAAATCTAATTTTAATAGGACAATACAAGAAATATGTAAAACAATATAAAGCATCTTTATACCCAGCAAAATGTTGCGTAATTATTGGATATTCGGGTAATGCTTTAGATTTAGGGCTGACCCCCAATAGTCAAAGATTCGATGCTTCGATGGGCGGAGCCGGATTAGACTGTCAATCTCACAGTTGAAGTTTTGCAGCGACACAAGGATCATGCCCACAACAAACAGTATAAAGAATAGTGTGGGTGCTATTTACCACTCACAAATGACATGTCAAATTTATATTTGTTTTTTTTACCCATCATTTTTTTGAACAGCATGCAAGAGGGACTCCAGCTGAGGTAACATACCTCTTAGTCAAAGTAAACTGCGGTGTAAATCTGGGGTATGTCGGCTGTAAAATGTAGTTGCCCTCCAGCTTACCTCAATAAACACTATTAAACAGAAAACACCATACATCCATTATGTCTACAACTAGTAATTAAAGAGGTCATATTATGCTCATCTTCAGGTTCATAATTTTATTTAGGGGTTGAACCAGAACAGATTTACATGTTTCATTTTCAAAAAACACCATATTTTTTCTCATACTGCACATTGCCGCAGTACCTCTTTTCAGTCTGTGTGTTGTACGCTTCGTTTTAGCTTCCGGGTGAAGCATCTCACTTCTATTAGATCTTTGTTGGGAATTGCACATGTGCATTACCTAGGTAAGGACTATTAGCCAATCAGAAGCAGAGTAGGGCGGATCCTGACAAGCAGGGTAGTGTGATCCAAAACAAAGCCTTTTCAGCCGGTAACCATGGCTGATCTCGAAACACAGGCAGAACAATCCAACTCACATACCAGTGTCCAACATTTTTCCCCCACTGGCCTTCTGCGCCAGTAGATCAGTGTTTTACTGGCCCGGGGGGAAAAAGAGAAAAACAACACTGTTACTTTAAACAACAAAAAACTGATTCATTCCTTATAACATTTAAAGATTTTAATATATATGTATTATTTTATTTTCCAATGAATGTGCTGTTTGCTTCTGCATATTTAAAAAAACAAAGACTTGTTGCAGATATTGATTGGCGTTTACAGTAGCCAGTAGAGCTGAATGTGTGTTACATCACTCAGACTCTGTGCACTGACTGGTTCCAGCTCCCAGTGAATGAATACTGCGGCTGGATGGGGACTGAACACAGCTTCTGAGACTGACAGAGGCCATTTAGACGAATACAGTGCCAAGGTGGTTTTCTTGCCTTGTTTGGCTCTTGGCACGCCGGGACTGAGTCAACTAATAGGACCGTTAGCTGCACGGCTAACCAAGCTAACAAACTACAGATACATACAGATATACTTAGGAGCAATTAGCGGTTTAGCAAAAAGCTAATTCATCTGTCCATCAAGAAACTCTGTAAATCACCTCAGTACTGTATTCCCTGTTGGTCTCTGTGTTCATTCCTGTTCATGACGCGTTCACTGGGAGGCTGCTGAGCGTGGTTTTGTGACCTGCTCACCCTGGTC